ACTCTTTGGTTCTTTCGGTAAAGTGACGTATAAAGAGAAAAGAATAAATTAAATACCACCATACAAGTATTTAATTTATTATTTTCTCTTTACACGTCACTTTACCGAAAGAACCAAAGAGTGAGACACGTGGATTTCTCCGTCTCTCTCTCCCCTGTGACGGTGGAACATCGGACGTCGCGTCACGGCCGTCCGGCTCGCGAAAGCTCCCCGCGGGATTCGTCGCTGGGTGCTCGCCGCCGGTTCGAAGTCATCCGAGGGAGATCGCAGTCAACGGAGCGGCGAGGGTGTGGGGGGGCAGGGGGAGGAGGGGGAGGGAATTCAACCCGGCGGGGATTTACTCCAGACACAGCCCCCCGGCTCAAGCGCTGGGAGACGGTCCCACGGCGGCCTCACAGCTCCCCGTCGCCGCGACAGCGAGCGGCGCGCACTGCACACTCGTGACGCACGGCGACAACAACGATGACAACGACGACAACAACAACAACGATGACAACAACAACGACAACAACGATGACAACAACAACAACGATGATGACACCAACAACGCGAACAACGACAACAATGACAATGACGACAACAACGACAACAACAACGACAACAAGATGACAACAACGATGACAACAACGACAACAACGATGATGACGCCAACAACGACACCAACAACAACGACGACGACAACGACAACAATGACGACCACAATGACAACAACGACACCGACGACAACGACAACAACGACAATGACAACGACAAAAATGACGACAACAACGACAACACCAACGACACCAACAACAACGACAACACCAACGACACCAACAACAACGACGACAACAACAACGACGACACCAACAACAACGACAACACCAACGACACCAACAACAACGACAACACCAACGACACCAACAACAACGACAACACCAACGACACCAACAACAACGACAACACCAACGACACCAACAACAACGACAACACCAACGACACCAACAACAACGACAACACCAACGACAACAACAACAACGACAACACCAACGACACCAACAACAACGACAACACCAACGACACCAACAACAACGACAACACCAACGACAACAACAACAACGACAACACCAACGACACCAACAACAACGACAACACCAACGACACCAACAACAACGACGACACCAACGACAACAACAACAACGACGACAACAATAACGACACCAACAATAACGACACCAACAACAACGACACCAACAACAACGACAACAACAACAACGACGACAACAATAACGACAGACAAACAGACGACGACAGACTCGGCCCATTCACCGCCGAGTGGCGGTGAAGCCCCCGCGGCGCTCGTGCCAGGCTAGGTGCACTTCGAGGCCGCCACGTGACACGTGCGGAAGGCTTCTCGCCCGCGGGCAGGAGGAGGAGTGTGGTCACGTGACAGACCCCGGCGGGTGCCACGGGTTGACCGACTGAGATGACTGGCAGATGCACCACCTGTGCTCCCCCACTGTGCCAACTGGCACAAAAAAAAGACAAAGATCCCCCGTGTAGCCTGTAACAGACTGTAGGGGCAAGTGCTGTTAGCAAGTAGCACCTATAACGGCCGGCACTGCACACGAGGGGGTGGGTGGCCAGCACCACGCTCGGCCGCCTTTGTCTTCCCAGCGGCGATGTTTACTCGTTTGAGGCTCAGTCGACCTAGGGGAGGCCCGGGACCGGTTCAGATAATCATCACCGGTATTGGCCGTGAGCGGGAATCGAACCCGGGTCGCCGGGTTCGTAGCGCAGCGTGGCGCTAACCGCTGCACCACCGCTCCCCAACTGGCCCACACCACCGCCACACACCCACACACGCGCCATATACACACACACAGGGACCCCCAGACAGACATGTGAGACAAGCACAAAGATCCCCCGTGTAGCCTACGTACAATGTCACGGCAAGTGCTGTTCGAGAGGCCAGCCGCGGATCCGATGGGGGGATGGGGGGGGGGAAGGTATTTTATTGATACCTTAGAAAATATTGGGAATGTATTGATTATAACACTGGCCAACACACTTTTTCTGGCATAAGGTATTCCAACGGTTTCAAGGTAGTTTTTGTCCATCACATCAGGTTTTTGAGATATCAAATATTGCATTTTCAATAAAAACTGCAGAAGAAATATATTAAATAAATGTGGATATTTACATAAAATTATATTATAAACACACTATCCTAAAAATACAGCACCATATTTTAGCACTAAAGCAGTCACTGACTCGCAACAACTCGCAATCATAAGTGACAGAGTTAATCTCGGGTAAAATCAATGAAAATGGGGTATGCCGATAGCATAAAAATGAGTTGTGATAGAGCAAATCTGAGATCAGATTTGGAATCAGCACCCTGAAATTAGTCTAGAACAGCTGCAAAAGTCCAGGCCAAGAAAAAAAATGTTTTTTTGTGTTGACCAGTGTAATTAATGTAGGGGGCCTCTATTTAAAAGGCTTGGAATTTTGGGACATCCCAACTATCCCACGCCGCCTCCCCCCGGAAAGTTTCTCCATCCGCCTCTGATGTCGGCTGCCAACCCTCCCCGTCACTGATGGCGTTATGCACTGCAACAGCTCACCAGGCACCAGAGGTCGCAAACGGGTTTTGATTCCTTACCCGTACCCGTACCCGGCCGCACCAGGGTTGCAAACGGCGACCCCTATCCGTACCCAGCTGGGTACGGGTACCCGTTCCCTACCCGTACCCTACCCGAAATGAGTGACAAACGGTGACTCACCAGTGACTCACGGCCTACCCGTACCCGTACTCTGCCGCACCAGGGTCGCAAACGGCTACCCGTACCCGTACCCAGCCGGGTACGGGTAGCCGGGTATCGGGTAGGGTATGGGTATCGGGTACCCGGTTGCGACCTCTGCCAGGCATTCGATCGTACGTACGGTGCGCGCTTTCAAGTTCCCGCGGGCGAAGGCCTTACTCCGACTTGGGAACGCATCGATGCTCGCGAGCTTTGATTTAACTTGCCCTGTCGTCCGCTCATATCCTTTCAAATCTACCGACGCTTTAATATGTTCGGATCACCGAACGAGCTGAAATGTTGCACGCACAGATTCGTCTACACGGTGAGAATTCATGATTTTTTCATTAAAAGGACCGGTTCAGGTCCCCCGACTATCCTGGACCTCTCTTGGTGGTTAATCATTTTTTTACTCAATTTCTTTATTGCACTAGATTTGAAATACATTGCTAGAATTATCCAGACAATAATGATTGGGACCTTAGAATGAATAGGCACACGTGCAAATTGTGTTTTTACAAGATTAACATTAAAATAAATTAGGTGATGAAAACTACAAGTTGTTTCAATGCGATTTAACGCTTTCGTGACTGCAGGGATTCATCTTCTTGGTTCTTTTGGTAAAGTCACGTAGAAGGGAAGTAATAAAATAATAAAAATGAAACATTAATAAAATCATTCTCACGACATTTCGGCCACAACGGCTGCTTGCGTTGTGGCCGAAACGTCGACAATGATGACGACGATGACGATGATGATGACGATGATGATGACGATGATGATGACGATGATGATGATGATGACGAAGACGATGACGAAGACTATGATGATGATGAAGGGGTCGTGGCGCTCCATCGCGCGAGGAATGTAAAAAGGTACAGCCCCTGCAACTGCTCGCTCGCACCACCGCTTGAGGTGGACGCGGCTCTAGAGCAGTTGGGCGACTCTCTAGACTCTGGAGCATTTTGGTTTGCCGACCCCTGACTATGAGAGTCCAGTTTACCACGGGAGTCCAGTTTACCACAGAAGTCCAGTTCACTATGGGAGTCCAGTTCACCATGGGAGTCCAGTTTACCATGGAAGTCCAGTTTACCATGGGAGTCCAGTTTACCATGGAATTCCAGTTCACCATGAGAGTCAAGTTTACCATGGAATTACAGTTCACCGTGGGAGTCCAGTTTACCATGGAAGTCCAGTTTACCATGGGAGTCCAGTTTACCATGGGAGTCCAGTTTATCATAGAATCCAATTAACCACAGAATTTCAGTTCACCATGGGAGTCCAGTTCCGTCTCGTATTCACCACACAGTGGCATAGGCGACTCAAAATATCGAGCTTTTTTTCTTTTTACAACCGAATTCGAATCAAAAAATGGCCGCACTCGTACCTCTGGTTTGCCGACCGCCCCATTGGGTCTCGCAGCTCCGGTGGCGTTATACCGTCGCCTACTCTCACCCCACCGGCTACAAACGTTTCCGGGAGAGAAGAGGCCGCGGGGAGAGTGGGCCCACGCTTCACCACGCCCCTGCCCACCGTGTTTCGACGCCGCTCGCGGGAACGTCCGGCACGCCGCCGGGACCGTGCCGGGCCGGGAAGTCGATCGTCCCCGGCTCGCTCCCCGGCTCGCTCCCCGGCTCGCTCGCCGACGTGCGTCGAACTTCCTACGCAGCCGTACGCAGCCGACCGCGACCGGTCGCGGAGACCCCCGTACCGCAGATTGAACGCAAGTCACAAGGCCCCCGGGGCGCGGGGAAACCTCCGGTGCTCCGCTCCAAATTGGGTCCGGTGCAGCCGCGAGGAAATGACGTTTGGGGCGGCGAACATCCCCCGGCACGCAACGGGGAGCGAGCGGCACATTGCCGCGAGGGACGCACCGCGGAGAGAGGGGCGGGCGGGGGGGGGGGCCGGGGCAGCGCAAAACCCGAGGACGCTGGGGCGGCAGCGCCACGCGACACAAAGCGCAGGCAAGCGGGGCCTACGGGCGGCGAGGCACGGTAGGACCAGGGCTGGGCAGGGGGGCAAGGGTAGGACAAGATGGGGGGGACGGGAGGGGAGGCGAGTGGGTGAGGGGCAAGGCAGGGCAGGGGGACAAGGGTAGGATGAGATGGGGGGGGCGGAAGGGGAGGCGAGGGGGGGGGGTGAGTTCAAGGCAGGGCAGGGTGGGCAAGGGTAGCGCGGGAGAGAGAGGGGGCAAGGTGCGTCAAGCCAGGCCAGCACCTCCAGGTAAGGCACGCCGGTGTTGGGGGGCTGCGGGTAGTCGCGCAGCGGCCGCTCCTCGTCGAAGAACTTTCCGGCACGGCCGTTGCAGGCGGGCTGGAAGAGGCCGTAGTTGAGGGCGTCGCTAAGGCTCTGCGTGAGCGTCTGCAGGATGCGCTGCTTGGCCTCGCGCACCAGCGCGTCCGGGTTGAAGCGTAGGCACTTCTGCGAGCGAGAGAGCACGAAACACGGGTCATTCCTCTTGTAGCGCCGCCCACCACCGCCACCACGTTCCAATCTCTGGTTACCACATTCAGACAAGCCCCTCCCCCCTCCCCCCCTTAGCTTGTATTTAAGGGCTGGTCTCTTGGAGTTTTGCCTCACTTGATGCGGTAATTTTGGCTGTGACGGTCCCACCTGATGACGGAGACTTGCGTTGCCTCCGAAACGTCGTGATTAATTATCTTATTTATATTATTACTTCCATTAATTAAATTTTTTACCCACGTGACTTTACCGAAAAAGCCTAAGAGTGCGAGTACATCTTCTTGGTTCTTTCGGTAAAGTCACGTAGAAGGGAAATAATAAAATAATAAAAATAAAACATAATAAAATAATTCTCACGACGTTTCGGCCACAACGCAAGCAGCCGTCCCTCAGGTGAAGACCAGGTCTGTCGGGGAGACAGCGTCTGAAGAGCCTGAGTACAGATCATCGGTTGACGCGCAGGTGCTTCGCAGCCAACGTTACGATTCGTTGCCAAGCAAAACGACGCTCGTTTAACCCGGGAAAGCCTCGCCGAGTCTCAAGACCCAAGAGGGTCCTGCCCAGCTTTCCCGCTCCTTTGCCCGGCGCCGCCCCCCGTTCGACCGCCCTCACCGTCTGGTGGAGCTCGGGCACGCCGACGCGCACCACCATCGTGTTGAGGCCGGCGTCGTCGCCGGCGGCTCCCGGCGCTCGCTCCGCAGTGGCGCGGATCGTGTCGTAAATGGTCTCCTCGCGCGACGACCCCTCGCCGTCGGACTCGCCGCCGCCGCTGCCCTCCGAGCCGCTGGCGGCCGCCTCATCCTCGCTGGGAGGGGGGCTCACAGGCATGGCTGCCGCCACCGCCGCCACGTTTCACATCACTGCGGGGGCGGGAGGGCACGCGACGACACCGGCACACGGTCACGGGGCGGGTCACGGACGGCGACTCCACTGGCACGGTACGGTGTCCGACGTTTCGTGCCACGTGCCGGGGGCGTCTCGTCCTTCTTCAGGATCGAGTTTCGTTCGCCCGGCAAAAGCGGAGCGGAATGCCGGGCAGACACACGGCGTTTGGTTTTGCTGTCATTCCCACGCGCACCTCCGATTAGCGCGGCTGGCTACGTACGGTGCGAAAGAAGTTCAACACTATGAGACCTCCTTGACCAGTGGCGAAATATAGTAGTAGGTTTTCACCCTTTCAACTGGTACAAAAACTGACACCTTTATACAAGCGATCATGTTTGCAATAACCAGCAACACAAGCAGTCAAAATGCAAACAAAAAGAAACAACTCTGATGAGGATAATGATATGCACTGTCCTTGATGTTGATTGGTCCACACCCGAGACAGCTTTTCTTAGAGCCTAGTCTCCACTTGTGTTGGACCAGATGACGCCAAAAGGCGTACAACTCAAAGACAGCGCACTATCAGAGTATTGAGAGCTCGGGGTAAGCAATTACACTATGAGACATCTCCTTTACCAGTGGCGAAATATAGTAATAGGTTTTTACCCTTTCAACTGGTACAACAACTGACACCTTTATACAAGCGATCATGTTTGCAATAACCACAACACAAGCAGTCAAAATGCAAACAAAAAGAAACAACTCTGATGATGATAATGATGATGCCTTGTATAAAGGTGTCAGTTTTTGTACCAGTTGAAAGGGTAAAAACCTATTACTAGAAGTTCAACATTCGAACAATACGTACATCCGCCCACAGCTAATGCCGAGTTAACTGCAACTCAAGCGATTGTTTGACGGACAGACTGGCGGATGGACAGGCAGACACACGGACAGGCACGTAGGTGAATGGAGGAATACAATCCACGGACAGAATGGAAGAACTGAAGCTTGCACGACAACCACAGCCGCTATTCACCACAAAGTGGCGGTGACGTCACCATGGCTATCGTGTCGTGGCGAGGCGCTGGTGCCAGGTTAGGTGCACCGCGTAGCCTCGACAGACTCGCTCGCTCTCGTAGAGAGACGACGATGATGATTACGACTGCCGTAACTCACCGCTCACCCGACCCAGATTCACAGAGGCCTCGGAAATTCCCCGGCACGCACAGTTGAGAGCGGTGGCACAGCAGTTGGCGCACCTGCGCTACGTAATGTGACAAGCTTGATTCGATTTTCCGGTCACGGCCAACATCAGTGGGGAGTGATATATCAACTGGTCCGAGGTCTGAGACTCACACGGAAACCCATAGACTCACACAGAGACCTATAGACTCACACAGAGACCCATAGACTCACACAGAGACCCACAGACTCACACAGAGACCCACAGACTCACACAGAGACCCAAAGACTCACACAGAAACCCATAGACTCGCACAGAGACCCATAGACTCGCACAGAGACCCATAGACTCACACAGAGAACTACAGACACGCACAGAGACCGACAGACTCACAGAGACCGACAGACTCACAGAGACCCATAGACTCACACAGAGACACACAGACTCACACAGAGACCCACAGACTCACACAGAGACCCATAGACTCACACAGAGACCCACAGACTCACACAGAGACCCACAGACTCACACAGAGACCCACAGGCTCACACAGAGACACACAGACTCACACAGAGACCCATAGACTCACACAGAGACCCACAGACTCGCACAGAGATCCCCAACACCTCCGATAGGCAATGTTGGCCACGTACGGTGCGAATGAAGTTCAATATATATACACATTACTTTAATTATTGTCATGATCATCAGCATCATCACTCTATTATTATATTTATTCTTCGGTTCGTATTTATAGCCACGGCGAGCCGATGAGTGTGTGCGAGCGAGCGAGCGAGAAAGGGGGAATTAATCAATGGCCCCTTAGGTAAGTGATGTTCACTCTTCAAGGGCAGGGGGGGGCGGTGGGGGGAGCGGTGGCTCCGTGTGGCTCGCGAGCCAGCGGGGGCGATCGACCGGCCCACGAGCCGACCCGGTGCTCGTGGTCGCCTTAAAAACGACGACGCCGCTGCCTTCGATTGCCTTCCCGACAGCCGTACGTGCGCGAGTCACTCGCACACCCACGCAAGCACAAACACTCGGCAAGAGAGATTCATTCGTGGGGGGAGGGGGGGGGCAACTCGGGGCTTATTCGTAAAAATAAATACAATCGGAGGGAAATGAAACGTCAGCTCAAATTCAGACCAGGAATAAACGTAGCACGCGGTAATTATTGTAATGACGATGATAACGATAATTTCAACGCGTGACGTGCCGCTGCAGAGTACTCGCTCGCTCTCGATGAGAGAACGACTCGGAGAGGATCTGTGGGTCTCTGTGTGAGTCTGTGGGTCTCTGTGTGAGTCTATAGGTCTCTGCGTGAGTCTGTATATACGCTGAACTTCTTTCGTACCACCCTACGTGGCCGACCGTGCTCACCGGGAGGTGCGCGTGGGGGAAGGACGAAACAAAGACCCAAACGCAAAGAAAGCGGCGCTCAAGAGAAAAATTCGTTTCCAGCCCAGATTTAAAGGCGCGCAGATCCCGGTGGCTTCCGAATGTATCGAGCGGTGACCGGCAGCGGTATTTTTCACTCCGCGCGCCGTTGCCAGACCGCTCCCGTTCGCGGCAGCCGGGATATTTTGGCGAGCGAGCGAGCGAACCGGCGAGAAACTCACCGCGCGTCGTCAACAACTTCCCAACGAGAAGCCCATGTGTTCGTCACTAGTCCCAGCTCATTGTCGCCCCCCCGACTGTGCCCGGCAAGCGTCGCCCGCTGTGCCTGGCAATTGTCACCCACTGTATCTGGCAATTGTTGCCCACTGTATCTGGCAATTGTTGCCCACTGCATCTGGCAATTGTCACCCACTGTACCTGACAATTGTTGCCCACTGTATCTGGCAATTGTCGCCCACTGTATCTGCCAATTGTCACCCACTGTATCTGGCAATTGTTGCCCACTGTATCTGGCAATTGTCACCCACTGTACCTGACAATTGTTGCCCACTGTATCTGGCAATTGTCGCCCACTGTATCTGGCAATTGTTGCCCACTGTACATGGCAATTGTTGCCCACTGTATCTGGCAATTGTTGCCCACTGTATCTGGCAATTGTTGCCCACTGTATCTGGCAATTGTTGCCCACTGTATCTGGCAATTGTTGCCCACTGTATCTGGCAATTGTTGCCCACTGTATCTGGCAATTGTTGCCCACTGTATCTGGCAATTGTCGCCCACTGTATCTGGCAATTGTCACCCACTGTATCTGGCAATTGTCGCCCACTGTATCTGGCAATTGTTGCCCACTGTATCTGGCAATTGTCACCCACTGTATCTGGCAATTGTCACCCACTGTATCTGGCAATTGTCACCCACTGTATCTGGCAATTGTCGCCCACTGTATCTGGCAATTGTTGCCCACTGTATCTGGCAATTGTTGCCCACTGTATCTGGCAATTGTCGCCCACTGTATCTGGCAATTGTCGCCCACTGTATCTGGCAATTGTCACCCACTGTATCTGGCAATTGTCACCCACTGTATCTGGCAATTGTCGCCCACTGTATCTGGCAATTGTTGCCCACTGTATCTGGCAATTGTTGCCCACTGTATCCGGCAATTGTCACCCACTGTATCTGGCAATTGTCACCCACTGTATCTGGCAATTGTTGCCCACTGTATCTGGCAATTGTCGCCCACTGTATCTGGCAATTGTTGCCCACTGTATCTGGCAATTGTTGCCCACTGTATCTGGCAATTGTCACCCACTGTATCTGGCAATTGTTGCCCACTGTATCTGGCAATTGTTGCCCACTGTATCCGGCAATTGTCACCCACTGTATCTGGCAATTGTCACCCACTGTATCTGGCAATTGTCACCCACTGTATCTGGCAATTGTCACCCACTGTATCTGGCAATTGTCGCCCACTGTATCTGGCAATTGTTGCCCACTGTATCTGGCAATTGTTGCCCACTGTATCTGGCAATTGTCGCCCACTGTATCTGGCAATTGTCGCCCACTGTATCTGGCAATTGTTGCCCACTGTACCTGGCAATTGTTGCCCACTGTATCTGGCAATTGTTGCCCACTGTATCTGGCAATTGTTGCCCACTGTATCTGGCAATTGTTGCCCACTGTATCCGGCAATTGTCACCCACTGTATCTGGCAATTGTCACCCACTGTATCTGGCAATTGTTGCCCACTGTACCTGGCAATTGTTGCCCACTGTATCTGGCAATTGTCACCCACTGTATCTGGCAATTGTCACCCACTGTATCTGGCAATTGTTGCCCACTGTATCTGGCAATTGTTGCCCACTGTATCTGGCAATTGTCGCCCACTGTACCTGGCAATTGTCACCCACTGTACCTGACAATTGTTGCCCACTGTACCCGGCAATTGTTGCCCACTGTACCTGGCAATTGTCACCCACTGTATCTGGCAATTGTTGCCCACTGTACCTGGCAATTGTCACCCACTGTACCCGGCAATTGTCACCCACTGTACCTGGCAATTGTCGCCCACTGTACCCGGCAATTGTTGCCCACTGTACCTGGCAATTGTCACCCACTGTACCTGGCAATTGTCACCCACTGTACCTGGCAATTGTCGCCCACTGTATCCGTCAATTGCTGCCCACTGTACCCGGCAATTGTCACCCACTGTACCCGGCAATTGTCACCCACTGTATCTGGCAATTGTTGCCCACTGTACCTGGCAATTGTCGCCCACTGTACCCGGCAATTGTCACCCACTGTATCTGGCAATTGTTGCCCACTGTACCTGGCAATTGTCGCCCACTGTATCCGTCAATTGCTGCCCACTGTACCCGGCAATTGTCACCCACTGTACCTGGCAATTGTCGCCCACTGTATCCGGGAACTGTCACCCACTTTCCCCTGCAACTGTCG